ACGAAGAATATTGGAGACCGTAATCTGAATGTCAACCAGCATTTCCTTTAGTTCTAAAAGATTAGTCTCCTCGGCACTAGCCTTTGATATGGTTTCTTCCTCGTTGGCGCCAGACAGCGCTTAGACGTTATCATCGGCGTCCGCCATGTTCGCACGTTTGGATCCTTGTTGGTCTTCTTCGGCAGAGCTACGTTCTCCTCTCTTGTGCTTTCCTTTGGTCTTGCCTTTATCCGGCATATAGTAGTTTTTATAGAAGTAACCAGAGAATTACTCGATTTTTTGGGGACGATATTGCTCCCTCACAAAGTGTGCGTCCCCACGCTAGCCCCGCGCATGCTCCCCCTTATCTGTTTTCTTTAAGGTAATTACCCTGAAATAAAACTGCACATAGATTTTTGTTCAAACTTTGTCCAATAAATATTTATCATATGAGAACTTTAATTATAAAATGAAAAAGGGGGGGTGCCATGCTCGTTAAGGAGCAGTGAGGCATTGAAAATGCCCCATTTTAGCGTCATTTAATGCTTATTACAAGAGCGCATTCCAAGTTATTGTAAACTCTTTGTGAGCCCAGACTCATGAAAACACGCTTCAAACTACAGTCAATACTTTTGTCGGACACAAATAAACTTTTTAAGTTCGATTTTGACAGACAGCTGTATCCTCGTTAAAATATTGGAACCAAATTGCTTGCCACGGCTATCAAACTGCAAAATAGAATAGACTACAGTGCAGTTGCTATTTTCCTTAATTATTCAATTTTCAACATAGAAATCAGATCAGTCTTTTCTCACGCAAAGCTAATGATTAGTTGATTAAAATGACTGGAAAAAAATTTGGGGTGCCCGAGCTCGTTAGTGAGCTATAGCCATTTTTCAACTGATAGAACTCAATATCAAGGCAAATCCGCTATGTTTTCAATGTGCGCGTGCACGAACGCGCACTAATGACGCCATAAATTACGCGCAGTAAGGATGCGCAATGCAATACTGGGGAATGACCTTAAAAGACTCTAAACCTTAAGGAAGGGTTTGCCTCCAAAAATAAGGGGCACTTCGGCTGCTTTTATTATTCAATTCAGAGCTCTGTCTAATAACCAAGGTATGCGATACCTTCAATTCATATATACCATAAGCGGCTGAGCCTATCAAGGGTTCAAAAGGGAGAGGGAGACTAGGAACCAATGCACTTCTTTAGCTCATGCTCTTGCTTGGGAGACTTCTGACCAGTTTGTGTTTTCTACCGTGGACTCGAAAGTAAGTTGGACAGGAAGACTGGAAGCTTCAGAGATGCCGAGCAAAAAGAAGAAATTCAATGCTCGATTTCCTCCGGTAAATTCGTCTTTCTACTAAAAAGGCTCGGATAGTGGCATAAACTAATTTACTATTTCTGCATCGCTAGGCTCGGATCAAGAAAATTATGCAAACAGACGAGGACGTCGGCAAGGTTGCAGCGGCCGTACCTGTTATAATTTGTATCCTTAAATAAGTACAGGAACAAGTAATGAAGCTTAAGTTAGTTCATTCTGGCCTGACTTCAGATACAAGAAGGAAAAAAAGCTCAATTTACGTGGAAAAATGTACTCATCCAAAATTGAATATGATGGCATCTAAGCGATGTTAAACTTTGTGAGGGTCGATGTTGTTGTTGAAGTCTTCATGTTTATATATTTTTTCCTTGGAGGCGCTGGGTTGATTGATCTCCAAAATAACAAAGGTCTTTGTGGAATTCATTTTTACTAGTTGATTCAATAATTGTTTCTGTCCTTAACAGCTTTATTCTGTAGCCAAAGCTCTTGAGATGTTTGTACAGTCACTTGTAGAAAGGGCGAGTGAATACACTAGAGCGAGAAATGCCAAAACCATGACCACGTCCCATCTGTAAGTTATTGCAGGTTTTCTGCTCGTGTTACTTTAACAGAACATTTTTTGTGTGTTCCTCGTTCATTAATGGAACACAGTTTTGCTTGCTAGCTGACCTTTTGAGAGTGTTGTTGTGTTTGTTTTTTTTCATTAATCTGACAGTTGTAGGTGAGGTGATTCCACGTTCTTAATGTCGGTCAATTTATATCAGTTAAGACATTTTTATGGCCTTTTTAACATTTTAAACTTGTGAATTGACTAATATTTATATTGACAGTATCAGTATAAGCTGTATTTTAATTAGACAGATATCTTTTGTAACCTAGATCCAGGATCCTTTTTGTCAATGTGTATTAATCATTAATGTTGTTCCATTTCTTTTGTGCCCTAATAAAGTGTTTTCCTTTTAAATTATAATAATAAAAAAACAATAATAATAACAGCAGTAATAACAACTATAAAATGACGATTACAAAAAGCATTTAAGCAAGAAAATTAACGAAAATAGAGCAACATGACATTTCAACGAATTCATGTCATCATTGGCAAATGAATAAAATATTAAAAATAACAGCAAGGCATATTTATAGAAATTAGGATGTGAGGAAACAAGTAATTAGTGAAGGTGACATGAGAGCACTCAGGTAAAACGTTTCGCATGTATGGAATCTACTTGCGTGTTGAGTTTCAGTCTTTTGTTCATAATCCAAAGCATTTCGAAGATCAAATATTCAAGTTTGCAGGGCATTACTTTATGACTTTAAAATTCTTAATTAAGTCATTGGGTGTTAAGCCATACTCGTCCCTGAAATGATATCCAGTTACCGTAGAATTCCGAAAGTAACGGCCCCCATTACTTTCGGATTTAGCAGGCCCAAGGAGCCGCTACTTTCGGGTAGCTGTTACTTTCGGGTAGCCGTTACTTTTGGATGGTTAAAAAACGTTTGTAATTGGGCAGTCATTTTACACAAAGAAGACACGTTACATGATACGTATGAAAAGGTCATTCCGGTTACGTATTAACCTGCGATCAGGCGTTACGTATTTATTACCAAAGCATACTGTAACCAAAAAAGGCGCCAAACGTGTGTACAATACAATGAAAAGTAGCATTCATATTATACGGGAACTAAATACTGTATTATTAACCGCGTGGCCATGGGCCGAGCGCGGTTCATGTTCTACCCTTGGTTTATTTTTTTTTATATTTTTTTTGTCGGAGACCAGACGCAGATCTCCACTCGGCCAGCTTTGAATTACGCAATCGGTAATGTTTACTCGCCAAACCTTGTTTCTTCAGGGTCAACAGAAATGTCAGATTACAAAATCACGCCGAACCTACACGTTGCAAAAAAATCTCTTCAAAACCCTGACATCGAAGCGATATATCACTTTAGCGTTAATAGCTACCTC